TTTCCTCACATGGAATATTCAGATGCTGGAGTCATTGGGAACAGAGAAGGCCAAGTAGCAACTCTAGGTTATGAACCACGTACAGCCCCGCTATTCTTCTGTGGCAATGACAGGCATTATAATAAGGACTATTTTGCTTTGGAAACTAAGCAGGTCCACACCAGTTAGGAATGATTCTGCTTTTACTTTAGGCTGAGAGATCAGAAGGATCACAACGTAACTATTCTCCTCTCGAAGACTAAGTATGGCCACTCTCCATCTCAGTCCCTGGATGTTGTCCAGAGCTCCCTGAGAATCCCTGCTCTGGGGGCAGAATCACCAAAGTTCATCCTCGCCAGCTCCCCACAGACTCCAGCAGGGCTTTCCTGCCAGGTGCAGGGCACAGGAATGGCTCTGCCTGTCTCTTAGTTAGAAGGAGACCGTAAAATAATGTTTGTATAAGAGGGACTGGAATTCTGGGTCTCCTTTAAAATATTTGACAAAATTTTCTTTGTTGTTTTATTTTGCCATCTCACCAATGAGGAGAGCAATCCCTTGGTAGTTATATTGTTTTTGGCACTTGGAAAGGTTTTTGTGGTTAAGTCACGTTAAGAAATTGTGCATTTTTTTCCTGTTCAGCTATAACCCAAGGCAGTGAAAAAACCAGCAAGAATTTTGAAGGCAGTCACTTCTGTATCCTATGATAAAGGTGTTACGTTTCATTGCCCACAGCTAACTTTCAGTCTAGTGGAAATGAAAAGGCACAGTTAGGGGGCATGTGAGCATGCCATGAGAGAGGTCGATACAATTAAGAAGTCTGTGCCAATCCCTAATACTGTGGGATTGAAGGGGAGGGAGAGATGACCTCTCCTTCAGACCGTGCTGAACAAGGAGGGAGAGGGAGTTCACCCATGGGAAGCTGAGGAGGAGCAAATCCCAGGGGCATCTAACTCAGGGTGCAGCAGCAAAGCCTTGGAAAGGAAAATGGCCCAGTTCAGCTGTCACAGGAGACAGGAGAAAGCAAAGTCATGTAATCCACAGTCCCCTGGCTGATTTGCTTCCTTATTACACTATTTTGCACCAGCGTGTCCTTGTCTCCCATTGCTCCTCTGCCTCGGCCAGAATCATCTTTTCCTTGTTTTTTTGCTCAGATTAGTGGATGTGCATTGTACAAGCTGATCAGTTCCTGTAGCAGCCCCTTTGCTAATCTTGGTTATATCTATCTTTATTTTCTGCATTAGGTAGTGCTCCTGCCACCATTGCTTATTGCCTTGTAGGAAGTCTCTTTTTATATAATTCAATTTTACTTTTTATTAAGAAACATTTGACTTCACCTTTTGGTGATCTATGCTTTTGGGGTAACATTCTCATTTTTGGAGGACATTTTTGTTTATTTTTAGTGATTCAGATGAAATAATCTCTTTATACTTCAATGTCTGTATTTTCTTCCTATTTTAAGCCAAATATTATTTCCTTTCATTCCTCTTTCTTTAGATGGTAGTTTTAAGGGAGAAAAAGTCTATAACTGGAGCTATATGATAAGTGTTATTCAGAATGAGGTGAGATATTAAACTTGGTAACTCAAAACAATAGTCTGGGTTAGAACTAACGTTGGAATTAGGGTTTAGGGAAGCCTCTCATAAAACCTGCTGGATGGAACTTCTGGAATATTCTCCCAGCTGACTCTGCAGACACTTCCCAGCATTCCTTGGGCCATTGAGAAGAAATAATGATGAAACTTCACTTACTGGCCACAAGATGGCACTGTGGTCCACTGGGATCTAAAGGGCCGTGGGGAGCCCGGGAGAGCGCTTAAGAGGGAAAGGGTTAAGAAAAATTAGGGCTTGGATCCCATGTTATGCAGATGTTGCAGCAGTTTTCAGTTATTGCTAGGCTAGGCTACCTACAGCTATGCAAGACTGGGGAAGTCCCTCTAATCTTTAATGAGATCTACAGTTGAGGAATTTTGGCCTGGTAGCCTTGATGCAGGTGCAGAGGAGCAACTGCCTCAGCAGAATAGGGAAAAGCGAGGGTGGGCTGTGCCCTGAGCCCAGTGCGTCTCTGCTGCACCTTATCGTCCCTGCAGGTCTGGCCAGGCAACAGCTTTAACCTGCTTGAGTGATCTGGGATTCTGCGAGTTTATAAGTCATACTGATAACATCACCTTGGCTGAGATTCCATTGGACACCAGGCACGTGTTCTCTGCAGAAAAAAAAATATTGAGAACAAGTTCTAAAACACCTAAGTAAACAAACTACTGAAAGGCAATGTTAGTAGATGCACCAAACTTTTAGTAGATGCACCAAACCTTGCTGTTAGACGTGAAGATAATCTACTAGTAAAATTATCGCAAAGAGACTATAAATTAAGTCTCTAGTAAGTATTTGTGGGCATAGAACAGTGTTTGAGTCCTCTCAGTGTAGATTAAGGAAGGAATTCAGCTATTATCTTGACTTTGGCTTGGATGAAAATCCATGAACTCCTCAACTGATTTTCTTGTAATATAGTACAGAATAATAGAGAGGAAACATTTTATTTTTCTCCAGCCTGTATCCCTCCTTGGCACTAACAGGTAAAGCGGACACCTAGAGGCAAGGTTTCTTTAGTTGGGATCCATTAACTGCGGTACTGTGAGGTCCATAGCTGGACTTTACAGGGAGTGCAAACCCCACGTGCAGGGATCCCCACATGTCTGTGTTGTGCCCAACTCCCCTCTGTGAGGCTGCCAAAGGGGGAGGCCCAGGTCACCCAGGACCCCACTCACAAAGTGGGGAACAGGCCTCTTGCTTGGCAAAAAAAAAAAATCAATTCACCAACTGGCCCATCTATTGAAAGCCAAAATGAAAGGAAAGTCTCAGTTGTGAGAGTGATGGATGCCCAGTTTCCCAAGTTATGAAATGTATAGGAGCTCATGGTTCTCAGAATGATTTCAACAGCATATAAAGATATTGTAAAACACTTTTGTTTGTCTATAACTTTCCTTGATATTGATCCCCAGTTGTTTTTCAGCCCAAGCATCAGTTGAGCTTATTTTGATGCCAAATTTCAGTGTTGCCACTTCAGTCAACAAGCACTTCTCATATTCTCCATAATTTACACAGGTATGTGTGTTCCTGTCTTTTCTTTTTTTTGTGTGATTCATTTTTAAATTGGGCTGTACAGAATGCAAGCGTACATTTGTAAATGACTCCCATATTTTATGCGATCTAGCTGTTTACTTTTTAGTAATAATTTTATTTAAGGTATAATTAATAGAGAGTAAAACAGAAATATTAATACAAGGACATCCTGGTACATTTTGACAAAAGCATATGCCAGTGCACAGCAACTGAAATGATTATAAAATAAATTCCGTCATGCAGGAAAGGGAGGTCATGCTCCTTTCCAATCAATTTCTCTCCCAGAGATAAAAACTTTCTTTATTTATTTATTTATTTATTTATTTATTTATTTATTTATTTTGAGACAGAGTCTCAGTCTGTCACCCAGGCTGGAGTGCAGTGGTGTGATCTCAGCTCACTGCAAGCTCTGCCTCCCAGGTTCACGCCATTCTCCTGCCTCAGCCTCCAGAGTAGCTGGGACTACAGGCGTCCGCCACCACGCCCAGCTAATTTTTGTATTTTTAGTAGAGACGGGGTTTCACCGTGTTATCCAGGATGGTCTCAATCTCCAGACCTCATGATCCACCTGCCTCAGCCTCCTAAAGTTCTGGGATTACAGGCATGAGCCACAGCACCTGGCCAAAACTTTTCTTATTTTTATCACCATTGACTAGCTTGGTCTATTCCTAAACTCCATATAAATGGAATCATATAACATTTTTATTGAGTTATTTTCCTCCAAAGTTAGTATTTCTGAAGTGTATTCATATTGTTGTATCAGTAGGTCATTTTTTCTTATGACTAATATTCCATTGCATAAAAATACAACAACTTGTTGATCCACGCTCCTGTTGATGGAGATCCACGTTACTCCTGTCTTCAACTATTAGGAATAAAGTTGTTGTGAATATTCTTGTGGAATTCTTTCTTGTGGATATATGCATTCTTTTTTTAAAATTTTTTTTTTGGTGTAGATTAAGAGTGGAAATACTGACTCACAGTGTAGATGTGTGTGCAATGCTTGCCTGTCCCCACAAAAGCTCATGTTGAAATTTGTCAATGTAATGGTATTGGGAGGTGGGACAGTTATGACAGGGTCATGAGGGATCTGCCCTCAGAAAGAGATCAATGCCCTTATTGTGGGAGTGAATTAGTTGTCTTGGGAATGGTCTTCTGATAAAAAGGATGAATTCAGTCATTTTCTCTGACTTCGGTGCTTGCTTCGCCTTCCTTCTGCCTTGAATAACAGCAAGGGGCCCTCATCAGTTATGACTCTTTGATCTTGGACTTCCTAGTCTCCAGATCTATAAGCCAAATAAATCTCTTGTCCTTATAAATTACCCAGTCTGTGGTATTTCTCTATAGCAGTAGGAAAGAGATTGAAAGAAAACATGGTGCTGAGAGTGATGCTGTTGTTATAACAAGTACCTGAAATTGTAGAAGCAGCTTTGGTTAATGGCAAATGGGTAATGGATAGAGGTTGGAAGAATGCAGAGAAGCAGACTAGCAAAAGACTTGATTGCTGAAGCAGAGCATTAAGCGCAATTCTGGTGAAGGCTTAGGGGGAAATGAGGAACGAAGTATCAGAAATTGAAGTAAATGTTATCCTTGTTGTAAGTAGCAAAAACCTTGGCAAAATTGTGTCCTGTTCTAGGACTTTATGGAATAAAATAATTATGAGCCATTAGCTAGGATATCTGCTGAAAGAAATATCTAAGGGGCTAAGCATTCAGGCTACTGTGTGACTACCTTCAGGCACCAGGAAATTTAACCCAGCTAGAAAGGAGCCAAGGGAATAGATTTTGCAAAGCAGCACAGATGGTGACCCTACCTCCCTCTGCTGTCCTGTCTCCCATAAGCCGAACTCACTCTGGAGTTAGAGAAAAGAGGAGCCAGTTAACACGATACACTGGGGTCAGCTTCTGAAGGCAGGGTGGATCTGGAGGTAATAACATAAACTGTCCAGAGCACTACATATAGGATGGCATTGAGGGTGCTGAGTCCAAAGCTGGGTAGGTCTGTGCTGTGAGCTGATGAGGCCCTAGAATAATTTCTGAGGAATCTGTACTCTTGATAATTTACAGACAACCCAGGTCTGCTTTGCATCTGATCAGATGGACTAAATCTTGGGAACTCTGCACCGCTGGCCACTCAGGAAAGGGGCTGGGAATGTTGCCTGGGACAGGAAAATATGATAAGAAACATTGGTGTGAATCTAGCATCAGAGAGATGATGTGAGGACAGTCAGGAACAGCTGGAACCTGAGGTTTAATCACAGGCTACTCACCCTTCACTAATGGGCAGGTGTGTGAGCTCCAGCATGGAGCACTGCAGTACTAGGTGGGAGGAGGGTGAGAGGGTGATGGGGCAGCCTGTGAGCTTGGGCAGTGTAGACAGAGGAGCAACTGTGTCACCACAGAAGCTTCTGCCTTCACCCATTCCTCCAGTTCTGTAGGACAGGTAGAGTCCAGGGTCCGTGGAGCACTAGACCTAAGGAAGCCTGCATGGGGAGGACACAGGACAGTGACATCACAGGATACCCCTCCCATCAGGAAAATTAAGGCCCAGAACTCACTCAGCTCTTCCCCAGGAGGACCAAGCCCTGCGTCAGGTGCAGTGCTGCCTGCCCCACTGTGCCATGGGCCCCGGGATCCTCTGCTGGGCGCTGCTTTGTCTCCTGGGAGCAGGTGAGTCCTGTGCACAGGATAGCAGCCCCATTCTCAGCTTTCCCACCCCTGTGTCCTCCACTTTAACTTGGGGAGGGTCTCCAGGCTGTCGCCTGAGCTCATCCTCCATCTGCTTTTCCGACAGGCCCAGTGGAGCCTGGAGTCACCCAAAGTCCCACACACCTGATTAAAACAAGAGGACAGCAAGTGATTCTGAGATGCTCTCCTATCTCTGGGCACAGCAGTGTGTCCTGGTACCAACAGGCCCTGGGTCAGGGGCCCCAGTTTATCTTTCAGTATTATGAGAAGGAAGAGAGAGGAAGAGGCAACTTCCCTGATCGATTCTCAGGTCGCCAGTTCCCTAACTATAGCTCTGAGCTGAATGTGAGCGCCTTGTTGCTGGGGGACTCGGCCCTGTATCTCTGCGCCAGCAGCTTGGCACAGCCCGGCAGAGTCACTGACATTCTGTATGTAAACTTCCTGCCTTAGCTTTCACTTGAGAGCTACAGGCCCCACCCAGCTTTCACTCCTTCAAGGGAAGCTTTCAGTTGTTTGGAAGGCATGTCTTCTGTCCTACTGAGTGCAGAGCTCTCCCAACCAACAGCGTCCAGGTTTCCTGTACCCTAAGTGTGCCCGCTTCTCTGCTGCATCCTCTTGCAGCTTATCACTTCCTGGGTAACTTCAGAACAAGAGTGACTGCTGAGCCCTAGATGTGTGCTTGATTCTTTGTATTTGTTACGTAGCTTAAAGCTTTTCAACAGTCTTGCACATCAAACATTCTTATTCTTCCTTTACAGATGGGAGGCTCAGGGACATTGAGTCATTTTCCCCAGTGTCTCCTGGCTTGTAAGGATCAGAAGTAGGAAACAAACTAGTCCATACATTTTCCACCTATTCCTCTGCTCCATCATTACCTTCTGTGTCCTAGTCAGTAAGTCAGAGCCCTCACACTGCCCTCATGACCACCAGGGCCATAGTAGAGGCTCAGATATCTTAAGGAGTCACTACTGAGGCCTCTTCATTAGCAACTTTGAGGAAGCTTAAATTTCATATTTAAAAAAATTCATTTATATGCGTTCCCCATGTCTGTCCCCTGTCTGCAGCTTTCATTTTCATTTTTATGGTGTTTTTTGATGCACAACAGTTTAATTTAATGCAACAAAAATGAAAAACAATTTTGTTTGTGTGTAGACAAAAACTGCTGTCTCATATAAATGTCTAAACGTATTTTTCTCAATTCATTCTACTAAAATTTAAGTTTGGATTTTCACCACTAAGAATAAATGCACCTGAACTAGATCTCATGTGAGAAACAAGATAGAGACCTAGGAATGGGAGGGAAGCATATATGTTCAGTGAAGAAGCAATAACCTGTTAAAAAGAGCCCTAAAGTGGACACCCTGAGCTGATGGTGGCGAGGGAGGTGGAGGGCAAATGATCATGACCCTTGTCAGTCTGTTGTCTTGTAGAAGAAAGGCAGCCAGGAGCAGAGAACACATGGGCGAAGGTTTATGACTGGACTGTAGGTTGAAGCTTGCAGCAGGTCGAGGGAGTAATAGCAGGCAGGGGGCAGAGTCACTGGCTGGCAGGGGCAGTGGCATCATCAGTTAGCTCTACTGACATCCAGGATTTATGTTCCCAAAACACAACCTTAAAAACCTCCCCACAATTTCCCCATTTTTCTGTGACCTTGCTGTGACCACCAGACTCCTCAGTGGTGTGGCCTTTTGCCTCCTGGGGGCAGGCGAGTCCCCTAAAGGCTTTTCCTTGGCTCACCACATCCTAGCCTAAGCCTTTACCTCAGGTCTACATTATTGGGTCCCTCCTTGGGCACTCAACTTCCTTCTATGATAGACTTCACAGAAGCTGGGACAACCAGATCCCAAAATACCAGAGAAGAAATGCAGGACATGAAGTGGCACAGAGATGCCTGAGACTGCCGTCCATGACTACATGTGTAGGTGTTAATAGGCGCTGAAACTGGTGTACAGCTGATCCATCCCAGCACTCACTATAGAGAAATCCCTGAGGGTCTGTGCCTTTCTCTCAAAGCCAAATACATGGCCTTGGTGTCAGACAACCTCTCCCAGACCTCTGTGCCCTCTTGCACCAGAAGTCGCCCCACAGCCACCTTCCTCTGCACACAAAGTTCAGTGGAAGATATAGGTGGCCTTGTCTTCACAAGACCGTGATTTGGGCAGTGGATAATGTCCCATAGGAGTCTCCCGAACACTGCCTCAGAAGTCTTCCTCAGTTGCTCTCAGAAAGGAAAGTTCATTTGAAATTGTATATTGCAGACAGTATTCACAACACAGGTACATTCTTTTCCTTGTCGGCCTTCACAACTCCATCTTTCCCACACCATGCTCATGTCAGTCCTCAGCCTCCTCCATGTGATGTCTGCTCCCGGCTGTCCTCTCCCTTTCTCTGCACCCTTATCTCCAGTCAACCTTAGAAGGGTCAGTTCAGGCCATTTCTCATGTGTTGTTCTCCTCTCACCAAAGGCCTTTCCACTCCACGCTGTATCCTCTGGGTCAACACAAGTCTCTTCTTTTTTGTTCTGGCTCCAAATCTCGGTTTTATTACCACCATCTTTAGGAAGACACTCCTTCAACAGTTTTTCTAGGCTGCACCTCCTTATTATAAATGCTCACAGCTTATAATATGCATTAGTATTCATAGATTTAACACCATTGTCATTTTCCATGACTTTGGGTGACTAATGGATACTTCTCTTGCGCTCTAGACTGTAAAACTCATCATTTCAGAAATTGTGGATGTTTTGTTCCCCATTTTATTGTCAATACCAACAGCAGTTCCAGGTGCCAGTGGCCAATCTTGAAAAAATAAAGAATGGATAGTGAAAGGCCCTCTTGGTTCCCTCTTAGACTGTTTCAGAAGTCTGGACGCATTAAATGGGAATCTCTATCCCTTCATCTCCTAGGATCTAATGAGTCCTGGAAACATGAGAAATCCCTGTCATGGATGAGTCACTGGATCCCAAGCCTTTCTGCACGACTGAACTTCCTATCAGGAGGCCCATCACCCTCCTGGCCTGTTTCCTTCTTCAATCTCCTTCCCTCACAGGTGTCTTGGATTTCAGAGTCTCACAGACACAGGGCACCTAATCATCGGCAGAGTGATCTGAAATATAATGTTAAACACTGGCATTAAAAGGTGATGGAGGCTGGGTGCAGGGGCTCACACCTGTAATCCCAGTACTTTGGGAGGGCAAGGCAGGCGGGCCACGAGGTCAGGAGATCGAGAACATCCTGGCTAACACGATGAAACTCCATCCCTGCGAAAAATAAAAACACTAAATTAGCTGGGCGAGGTGGCGGGCGCCTGTATTCCCAGCTACCCAGGAGGCTGAGACAGGAGAATGGCGTGAACCCATGAGGTGGAGCTCATAGTGAGCCAAAATTGCAACAGTGCACTCCAGCCTGGGGGACAGTGAGACTCCGTCTCAAAAAACAAAACAAAACAAAACAAAACAAGAAAAAACAGGTTATGGAGAAGAAAACAAATGGCTTTTCCATTCTCTTAGGAAGAGTTTTCCCAAGGCACAAATATCTCTGTGGGTGGCTTTGAGGCCATGGTGCCTGATACACTGAACTATGTCATTGGTGTCCATTTCCATGAATTGGTTAGCAACATCAGAGACACACAGCTCACGGTTACCAGCTTCCTCCAGACCACACAGGATTTTGGTGCAGGGTGCTGAGCAGAGACCTTTGCTTGTTCCTTACTTTTCCCAGACAGGAAAGGCTGACTGTGAGGCAGAGGCTCCATTTTCAGAGCAGGGCTGTGTGTTAGTCTCTGAAGAATTGTGAGAGTCATTCTGGGTAGAAATAATCAAATATACAATCATTAGGGATGCTCCACGGAAAGACCGATGTCCTACTTTTGCAAGAATTATTTGCATCTATGCTTTAAAGATGAATGCAGTTTTATCTCTTTAGGCAGGAAAGACCAAAAATAGACTAGCTATTTTAAATAATTGAACCTTAAACAGACCAAGGTCAGAACATCTTCCCTAGGGACAGCATTTTCTTCCACCCACTCGCTAAAGCTGTATTTGAGAAAGCTGTGTGCTGTTGATAAATGCTGGAATATCATTACAATTGACATCGTAATAATACTGCTACTTGGATCAGAAACAAAGAGCATTTCCAAAGCTTGAAAAATGTAAAACTGGAAACAAGCTCTTACTGAGTTTGGAAATGCAGGCACTGGAGGGTGCTCATTTCTCTTCCTTTTCAAATCAGGGGGCTATTCAAATCCTGTTCTAGAACAAGGAGCGAGATCCTCCACTTCCCCGTGGTGATTAGGCTTTCAGAGGTAGAAGCCTTATTAGTTCATAATCAACACAAACTGACCTCACCATCAAATGTGTCGACCCCGATGCTCACCCTCCTCAGCAGTCAGAGACTGGCTGTGTTCAACAGGAACTTGTGCGCTTTTATGGAGCACACTTTATCCACAGTTTATTACAAAAAATAAATGGGCCTTTACGGGGGTTTCATAAACAGAAGCTTTCTGTCCTTTGCCCGTTTAGACACTACAAATTCTGATGCCTCATGAAAGGTATAAACTTAAAGCTTGCATGTGGTTAAGATTTTCTAATAACCAAATTCAATTATATATATATGTATATATATTAAAAATGTCAATAATGCTCTCAAATCCAATCCCACCTTCCATGGGTAACCAATATTAACGCTCTGGTATGCTGCTTTTCACCCCTTTTTTCTGTGTTCATGCATACCTTTCTACCCAAGTACACCTACAGAAAATGGGTTCACCTGTACTCTTTACCTGCCACATGCACACTCTTTTCTGTTAACATACCTTGATCTTTATTGTTGCAGATTTTTCAATACAGATCTAACTTGCTACTATTAGCTGCTTCATATGGCACAACAAGGGTAGACAGGTACACTTGTGTTCTGTTATCTGATTCCTAAATTCTGCTAGATCTTTTCTGAAGTGACTGAACGGCCTCTTTTGGCTTCCAAGTTCTCTTCACCCAGCACCCAGTTGATGATTCCAGCTTTTCCATCACTCATAGTCCTAGCAAGTGTGAGAGCCCCACTGGTTTCTCCTGCATGAGGGAGGGATAAAAGGATAGACATTTATCAAACCTACCAGAGACTACACAGTATCTCAGTTAATCCTCATAAAGCATTGAGGGGAATGTTAGTCTTGTTTTGTAGATGAGTCTAAATGAGGCTAAAGTCCAGGAACGGTAATGAATGGCCTTGCCCATGGTCTCCGAGCTAATAAATGTTGGAGACAGATGAAGGACAGTCAGCTAGCTTCTGTGTGGAACTGATAGAGGGGTCACTGGAGTTTGAGGGAGGGGAAGTCTAGAACCATCTGGGGCTGTCTTCAGATCAGACACCAGGGTTAGGAGAGTCTGTGTACCCTAAAGCACTGCAGGTACAAGTATCGTGATGTTGGCACTGGGCAGGTACTAGAGTAGGTAAGTGGTTAGTGGCCTGGAACCCGAAGATCTGAGCTTTGAGAAAATTATTCCCATCACAAGACGTAGCAGAGACACTGATGTGGACATACTAGGCCAGGGAGCTCTGTGAGGAGCTGTTGTTAACATGAGGGAGGGAGGAGAAGCAACTAAGTGGTCACTTCCTTTACGTGAAATGTAGAGGAAAACCATGTTAAGTAGAATCCCATCTGATTTTCGTCAGTTTTGCTTTGTAAGCAGTTGGGAGGTGGGATAATTTATTTTTGAGTTTAAGTGAACATCTATATGGCTCCTTTACCTTATGAAGGCTGGTGGGGAAGGGAAAAATGGCACGGTCAATGGAGTCACAGTTTGCTTAGTAAATAACCCAGTTCAAAGAGAGACTCTCATGGGCCAGAAATTGGTAAAGCTTTCTGGATTCTAAAATTAGGGGGATCTTATTTTCTTTGAATCAGCAGAGAAGGAAGGAAAGGCAGTGGGGAGGGACAGTTGGGAATACGGAATGTCGAAGACAAAGGACACATAATTCCAAATTCAAAGCTGTGAAGCTGTGATGCAAACTTCTGCTTCTCCTAATGGATTTTCAGGTCTCATCACAGATGCACACCTGAGGGAGTAATTTCTTTGGAAATGAAGGACAAACAGCTGTGTTCAATATTAATAACAACTCCACCTTACAAAGCACACCTGGCAATGGAAACAAGATTTTTTAAGGCCTTTTCTACTCTAAGAGTCTCTAAGTTGGTGGCCAGGTGAGAGATGAGGAAGGGGTGGGGGTGTTGTTCCTCACGCCAAGAGTACCATGAAGCATATAGTTCTGAAAGTGCATCAGAGCCCTAAGAAGAATAATGCCCTTTACGTTGTTTTGCCTTCTGCCATCCCAATCCCACCCCACCCATAATTAAGCAGCCACAGAAATGAGGGGAGCCAGAAGGAATCAAACTCTGCTGCTTGGTACAGTAGACACAGGGACCTGGGGAAGGGTGTTGGCTGGGTCTAGGAGAAGATGATGAGCTCAGAAAATAGACAACAGAAACCCCAGGGGAAACCTTGTGAAACCCTGGAGGAATCACAAGACATGTTATTAGAGCTCCTTTTTATTTATTAGTAAATTTTATTCATTACTAAGTTAATGGCAGGAATCCTGCACAAAGGGATATGCCCTATGAAACATGACATCTCAAATACAAACAGAGCATTCTTCCTCACCCTAAAGTCACCCCTCTCTCCCCAAGTCCCTCACGCATCAGGCCACCTTTGTGCCCATAAGTCATGGGCAGTGCTGGGTGGTCATCATCATCCACACAGAGAGGGCAGTCAGCAGCGTGAGGTGGTTCTGCCTGCTGTGGTCTCACCCCAGACATGGAAATGAAGGGCCCTGGGTGGAGCTGAAGGTGCTCAGCTGGGTTTCTCAGGAGTCCCATCTGTCAGTGAGTTGACAAGAAACAGAGCAAAACGACTCCTCCAATGTTGATGAGCCTGCCCCTGGGATTTGGAAACTTGCTAACAGAGAAAACCAATATAGGCAAAGGATTTTAATCAGGATTATGGTCAATTAAGCAAATTAGAAGAGGATACTTGAAGGAGTATTTGGGACGCAGGAATCAAAAACACCATGAAGACATGAGGAGTTTCCCTAAGACTCTAGACTACAGCACTATGTAGATAACTAACACCAGACTATTAAGTATATTATTGAAGAAATAAAATTTACATTGAGTTACAAACTGTTTACAAAAGGTCATGAAAATCTTGGACACTTGTTTCAGTTCAGACAAATGTGTCCTTCGCATTCTCAGCTGTTCATTGGTGCATTTATCTTGAATTTGACCATCTGGGGAATGGGCGTGGCCTCTCCTGACAGGAAGGCTCTGGGGCCCAGGCAGGGAGAATGACGTCTCAGAATGATTCCCTTGACAGTCCTGGTACCCTTTCACCAATGCACAGACCCAGAAGACCCCTCCATCCTGCAGCACCTGCCATGAGCATCGGGCTCCTGTGCTGTGCAGCCTTTTCTCTCCTGTGGGCAGGTGGGTCCGGGGCAGGGACCCTTGCATGGATTTCAAGGCCCAGCGCCTTCCCTTTGGAGGTGCAGCAGCAGCTTTGTTCCTCTGCAGGTCCAGGGAATGCTGGTGTCACTCAGACACCAAAATTCCAGCTCCTGAAGACAGGACAGAGCTTGACACTGCTATGTGCCCAGGATATGAACCATAAGTACATGTACTGGTATCGACAAGACCCAGGCGTGGGGCTGAGGCTCATTCAATACTCAGTTGCTGCTGGTATCACTGACAAAGGAGAAGTCCCCAATGGCTACAATGTCTCCAGATTAAACACAGAAGATTTCCCACTCAGGCTGGAGTCGGTGGCTCTCTCCCAGATGTCTGTGTACTTCTGTGCCAGCAGTGACACCACAGTGCTGCACGGCCGTCTCCTCTCTGCACATAAAGTCAGGTAGGCTCTTCCCTCCTCCCCCACCCAAGACTCAGGGATGCCCTGGGCAGAGTTCTCTGCACCACTAACCTTGGTACCCCGACTGGCCCCAAGTGGCCCAGACATTATGAGCCTTGCTCTGTGCCAGGCGCCTCTGCAGGCAGTCTCAGCCAGGACTGGACTGACCCCAGGTCCTCATAAGTCTCCTTTGTTGCTCTGTCTGTTCTTTTCTCAGAGCTCTCCTTTTGGGGTAGGGCCAGGGCTTCCCCAGCTCCTACTTTTCTACCCATCATACTGAGTCCGAGGCCCCCAGCGTGGAACATGGATTTGTAGTTCACATCCATCTAGACTCCCGTCTCTCCCTGGTGACCATGTTTCTTCCTTTCGCTTGGGTTTCCCCCAGCCCCCACCCTCACATGGTCTCTCCTGTGGCCCACCTTTCCCATCTGGGCAGTCATCCTCCACGGCCCTGCTGGATTTTTCCTCCCCTCACCTCCCCGTCCCTCTCTACTGCAGCCATGAGGGGAGTCCCTCTTCTGTGCCTCCTTCCTTCCCATCGCAGAGATTTCAAAGGCCATTTTCTCTGCCCTAGGCTGGAGCCTCCCTTCCTCTAGTGGCCAGCTCCTGCCTGTGCTTCAGATCTCAGCATAATCAGCCCTCCTGTGGGAAGCACTCCCTCCCCTCCCAGCTGAGATCAACTTCTCTCATAAGCTCTCATAGAATCATATGTCTGTTAGTAACCATTGGGCTTTCTCAGATACTTGTCTGATTATTTTTGTGCTCCACCCATTTTTCTTTTTCTTTTTTTTCTTTTTGAGACACAGTCTCAGTCTGTCATCAGGCTGGAGTGCAGTGGCATGATCGGCTCACTGCAACCTCCGACTCTGGTTCTAGCGATTCTCGTGCCTCCGCCTCCCGAGTAGCTGGGATTACAGGCATACACCACCACAATCAGCTAATTCATTTTTCTGTTTTTGTAGAGATCGGATTCACCATGTTGGACAGGATGGTCTCCATCTCCCACCCCCATGATCTGCCTATCTTGGCCTCCCAAGGTGCTAGGATACAGGCATAAGCCACCACACCTGGCCTCTCCACCCAATTTTTAAGTCCACAAGAGCTAAGTCTGTGCCTGCTGCATTTACCAACATCGATGCCTGGCGTGTGGGGAGACTCATTTCACAGAGAATGGATGAGTGAATGAGAGGCCGAGTGAGTGATGAGCGGGTGGACGAAACAATGCTAGGAACACATTACATCTACTGTAACCTGGCAGAGATCTAGCATTAAGTATAAGAAAGCCCACCCCTTTGATTGCTGGGCCCAGGTCGGTCTTGGAAATTGATGGGGAATCACTATCATGGCGACCACACCTGGGTCAAGGCTTCCTCTTGTGGCTGCAGCATCTGACCTCCTCCAGGTCTCTGTGCTCTCCTTCAGGGTCTTTTCCCACAACAAATCTAGACAGATCAGAGATCCACTTCTAGAATTCTATGCTTAAAGGTTGTTCCTTGAAAGCACTTCTGGTAAGAAAATCTGCATTAGGTTTGCATCAATAAAACAGGGCCACTACAAATTTGGCATTGTAATGGATTTATGATCAGAATTACATGATATGCATATGTGGCAGGAGCTGAGGAAAAGAGGGTCTGGAGGAGAGAAATAAGAAGGTGAGGGAGCCAGTCAGTAACCAGGGATCCTGGATATCTGGGCAGGACAGGCTGGAGTGGCAGGGACATGGGAGGATTAGAGCATGCCAGGCCATGCAAGTGGGACCTTGAGCCAGGAGCACAGGAAAAGGCCACGGAAACCTGCTTCTGGGGAAGCTGTTCTCTCTCTATGGGGGCCACTCCTGCAGGTGCACTGCCAAACACTGGGGGCAGCCTGGCTGCTGTTGGCCAGCATTTGGGAAGATGAACTGGACACAGGGTACAGAAGGAACAGGTCTTCCTAGGTCTGTTGGATGCCTCTGTATTTGCTGGTCACTGTCTCTCACTGTCTGACCACAATGACCTGCCTAGTGTAATAGTGACTGTTTCACATCTATCTAACAAATTTTACTTAGTGTATCTTTGACCATCTCTAATCCAGAATGGTAAGAGAAATGGCATTCTTATCTTGCCTTTGCAAAGTTGATTTAACGCAATCCAGCACAGGATGGATTCTCCCAGAT